GAAGCGCGCCACAACGAAAAAACGCGGTTGCTGATCGGGGTGACAGAAGTAAAATAATACAAATGACGATGAAAAAGGAAGTGCATGAGTGGTACCTTTGCCCACATTTTACGGCTGAATCTCATGTACGGGACCAGCGGGCGATCCGGTGGTTTCGGTGGCTTGATCGCTCCACCATCAACCTGGCAAAAATCACACTGTTAACTGCAGAACAGGGCAGAAAACAACGCCTGTAGTGAGAAGCAGGGCCCCTGGAGAAGCATTCGCCACTGGGACAATCCCTCTGTGATTAGTTTCGACTGGCACATACCACAGAACTGAAACTGCCAATAAGGTATGTACTTCAAATGACTCGTCACTTGGTGAACGGCGCAAATCCACATGCGGGGCTTCCCAACAGAACCGCGGAAAATTACGGGGGTACTGACACCCGAGCAATCTTTCGCCTCCCACAGAGTGAAAAGAACGGCTAGCGTATAGATTCCATAAGCTGCCGCTGTGTTCTGCCAAATCTGCATCCGTTTCAGCCCCTTTCTGTAGGTTTTCTCCCTTCCAACGTAGATAAGCTTGCTTCGCTCCCCCTCCCTGTTGCCCTTCGCCCTACGTTCTAACCGATTTGAAAAGGCACTTCGTAAAATGCGGTAATCAGGAAGTGAACAAACCTGGCCGGATGGGCGCGGAGTTGGATGCCGGAACATTGTAAATCAATTGCTCCTTTGGACCTGAAAAATAGTTTTGAACTGAATTCTCGGAATTGCCCGCAAAAATACGCGCCAGCAAAAGCGCTGCCGAAAGTGGGGTACGGTGAAAAGTGAAGCAAAGTGATGTGCCGGAGCTGGAGGGTCCGAGCTCGTCATTGAGTTCATCTGAGTGATGACAGTGCGGGGAAGCGACTCCCGAAAGAGGGAGCCATCGACAGCCTCGTGCAACGTGCAACCACCAGAGATACATCCGAATACCCCTTCCCCTCTCCCCACCTTTTAAGTGCAGTGGACGGTTGACCACGGCGAAAAACGTCGCTAAGCAGAAGGACGGCACCCTCAGACGGCCCTCTAAAAAAAGTAACAAGAATGAAGGGGACGGAAATAGGTAAAAACAACAAATTCTGTAATGTAATTTTATGCTCCAACGGCTGCTACCATCTTGCAGTGGA